AGAGCAGAATTAATGAACAAAACAGCTATTGCTGTCAATAGCAACTACATTGTAGGATTTTGTTGTAACTGTACATGGTGCAAAAAGTAAAGAGACTGCGAAGTATCAGCAATATAATTGCTGCCGTCGTTGCTTTCTCTGTGGAGAGCATGAGGCACGTAATTGAAATTAAAGTAGTGATGGTCTAGTGTTCCGTTAAAAGTGTGATTATCAAAACCCTCACATCAGCGATGTGAATATAATCTAAACTATGTCATTTTTGGTACATTTTTGTGGGCTGAATCAAGAACATATTTAGATGCCTACAATGGTAATTTGGTAATAATAGACTTTTTGTTGATGATAATGCTGTTTGTACTTCAGTACAAAAAAGTAAGCACATTTCTTAGTGTTGCAGTATAGGAATGTAATTCGTAATACCCTGGGACGCCAAAGTTGCGTAGAAATTAAATGTTTGTGCAGACCAAGCTCACAGTTTCTTGAACAGATCTGGCAGTGCCTACCAAGGCACGATTACAGGATATAGCAGTGAGACAATGACAACAAAGCTCAACAGAGTTGTGAAAGCCCTTTATGCGCAGAGGTCCAGTTGTCAGTTGTCATCAAGTTCACCTAGTTGAAGATAAGACTTGCTTGCAGCTGCCTACTCAGTGACAGTCACGTTGTTTTGGAAACTGCGCTCTTGAGATAGCTGTGTCCTGAAAAGGAAGAGCTCATGCAGAGCTGTGGGAACATCCAGGGACATTGAAATATCCTAACCCTAGATGCCTATGTCTCCATATTAGCAGGCTAGTGAAAGGAAGGAGGGGACACTGCTGGTGACAAACGAGGATCCAGGATGAGAATGTGTCAGGAGGGTAGGTATTCTGCACAGTTGCCACTGTTAGACTCCTGGCGTTGATTTGCAGCTATTGCCATGAATTGTCAATTAAATTGTCCAGATAGCTCTCACCTAATGTTGTATCTGCAGCTGTTGCATGAACAATTATGGAGGGTCAGTCCTTGTATGTGAAATTTAAAAAAAAAAAATTACCCCTCCTCCCACACTATTATCATGGCCAGCAACATAGTGCAAAGGCAAAAAAAAACTTACAGAAAGACTGTTAGTGAGGCATGGTCATAGTCAATGGCATGAAGTTTTTGCCAGGCTTTTTTAAGATGCAGGCATTATGTCATATAAATCACAGAAGGTGTGTGACTGTGTGTGAGCATCTGTGTTATATACATCAAAATATCCTTATTAAGTCATACTGACTTCTTAAAACTGCTTATGGAGCAAAGGGGTCCTTTACCTTGCAGATTTCTGCTGCTAAAATGTGAAGATTGCCATAGATTTGCCTGTTGTTTAAACTGCCTGTTTTATTAGTCATCCTTTGTCCCACCAAAAATGGCCTTTTCCACTGAGAACAGATAAACAGAACAAGGTGGGGCAAATACTGAACTCATTTTCTTATACACCATCCACAGATACGATTTCAGAGAGTGAGTTATAATGGGTGTTAACATCCTTAAAGATGAAATCTAAAAAAAAAATCAAAATATTAATACCAGAAATGTAAAGGAAAAGCCAGTAAAAGGGAAGTTATTTGCTATAACACCATAGGAAAATCTTATGCATTTTAAAAGGAAAAGGAAAAAAACAGCAAAAACTGCAGATTAAATACTAAGGCTAGTCAGCTGCAAAGCCATAAGTTTTAATAAAGCGCAGAGGAAAATCACTGTGATTATTGCAGACATTTTCTGAATTCAGCCAAAAGAGGTGGAATGAGTATTCCCGTGAAGAGACTGTTGGAAAGAAGGGGAAGAACAGTTTATTCTATTGTTACTGCAAAATCAAAGTCAGCAGTCTGTCCTTCTATACAGTATATGACCTGAAATATTGGGACAATACTCCTTTACAATAGCCAGACTCCCATCATTTTACCACACAAAACAATCATTCTGGAATAGACCAGTACAGTTCTTTTGGATTAATTGTTACATTTATACTCACTTTCTGTCATTACTTTTTACTTTTATGCCCAGGTACGGTTAAATAGAATGAAAGGCAAATTCTGAGCAAAGAAAGTGCAAATAATAAAATTAATTGGATACATTCCACCTGTCTTTCCTAGTAATCAATTATTCACAAGTAATCGCAAAATCATTTGGCAACATAATTTACCATTTGATAATTTATAAGTTTCTGCAATTAATAAATATTGGTTTCAAATCATTCTCTAGTTAAGCTGTAAATGCCATCCATTTTATAGTGCTATGTCATTTCACACAAGTCACACAGTACTGTTTTCAGTTTCTCACTGGACAATTTATGTAACTAACCAGCAGTATAAACTAGCAGTGTTAGAACTCAGTTTCCTGAGTTTTGCAATAGAGTTTTGCAATAATGTGTCTGGGTTTTTTTTCAGTGGATGAACTGAACAACTGACACATTTTTATTCTGAATTTTGGAAATGTGTATATTATTCAGAAGTGGTGTTCACCAAGCATTCAAGAACCCAAACCTAAAATTTTCAAGTAAACTAGTAAATTTTTTAGTGACTTTTGTACTGGAAATATATGTGGATACAAATATTACAATAAAGTCATACTTAGGGTTTACTTAGGTTTGAAAGCAAATAAATTTGGACCCAAAATACTTTCTTATGTTTACTTGTCTCTGAGAAAATAGAAAGGGAAATCAAAGCAGAGCTCTTACCCATACATAAACAGCCATACGTAATATGTAAAGCCAAATACGAAGAGAGAAAAAGATTTGAATGTCCTGAAAGCAACACATATCACTTAATCACAGAATC